TAAACGAATTAGTGTCATAATCATATCTTGAAATATATGCGTTTTACTCTATTTAATATATTTATTCTATGCTTACATATGATTATTTATATATATATATATATATATGTGACGGACGAAGAGATATTGCTTCGAGAACAGTGTGAACCAAGTAATTTTGTTATGATTAGTTGACCGATGTCCTATATGTAGCTTCCGTCCTCCTCTGCTAGGATAAACACCTATTTTGGTTCTTAACGTTTTTCTATACATATTGCATCATAACTTCACTTCTGTCGCCGCTTAATGCCAAAATGTGCCTCTTCCTAGCAGATTTGCTTCATGCGTTGACCAACAGTCTTCTGCAAGGCGGCTTATTCTTTACTTTTGTTACTCTTTTTAGGTATGTTTTCGTCATCCGTTGCATCGTTTTCCCCTTCAATGTGCGCTCCTCGCAGGAGCCTGTCCGCCGCTACCTGCGGGTCACCAAGGAGTATTTGTCCATTTTGAAGGAGCGCTTTCAAGTGAGGCCAGTCACGTTTTGCCTTTTCTTCTCACACTTCTTCTCCACACTTTTATTGCCGACGTAAATTCTAAGCTGGTTACAGTCTTTTTTTTGTCTGCATCGAATTTTTTTGAGCTCACTTTCGTAACTTTTCCGCCGTGTCGTCAAAACTTTGTTCGACTTCGTCTACCAGGTCTCGAATTTCCTTTTCAAGGCAACCTCGAAGAATACAATTGGTCCTGTATCTTCTGCCCTAGTAGTCATGATATGTTCCAGCCTCGAACCATGCAAAAACAGACCAGGTATTTGTCTGGGAGTGTAACAAGTCCACGCTCCGACGCTGAAGATTATTACGACTACTCGGGCAGAGGAACTTAGGGCAAGGTGGACTCTTTGCTGTCGCTCTGATGACAAGATTAAGTTGCGGATGCGAGGTCAGACTAGAATCTATTCTTTTATGTTTCCCCTGGCAACTGATTTGAGCTGTCTGTCCTCAATCGAGTGCAATAAGCCCGTTTGTTCGACCCTCAGTTGTCACCGGTTGCAGTAGAATATTGATGCCCCGGCTTGTTCTACGAGGTCAGCTTGGATGTGTGAATTCGAATGGGAATCAGTCCTACGAACCTTTCGAAATGTGGGACGGCGAGATATTTATGTGATGCTATTCACCCTGTTCTTTTTCTATTTAAACTGTTCATTATTCCTTCGGGAATCTGGCAACTGGGCAAAAGATGAGCAGTCACTTAATCAAATAATAATAATAATAATAATAATACTTGTCAATGGCATCGTCAGCATAATTGTCAGGATGTGTAAAGGCCTTTTGTGTTGGACAACTCTGGCTGGATTCTTGATTGCTTGTGAAGAGATAACCAGTTGACGAATGGTGATACATGATTTTTATTTGAGCCCACCAGATTTTGGTTAATTTAAGGCCAAAAAAGTGGGCGAAAATTGGTACTTTTATTCACAAATTTCGATAGTTTTGCTGGCGAGATGGCGAACTCCTGTTAATATACAATTAATAATATATTGATGCTACTTAATTACTTATGTTAATATTATAG